CTCTATTTGATGGTTCAGACTTCCCCTCACGACTCCTCTCTTTATATTTGTGTAGCCTGAGGTTTTGCCAATTGTCTATCCTCTCAGGTCACTTGGCAGAACCCAGCTGTGAATGTACAATCCATGTTAGACTCAGGGTGAAGTGTATTAGTCAGTCAGTCAGCAGGGAACTGCAACACAGTGAATCAGGACGCTGAAAACAAGTCAAGTTCTTTGACTCGGTGGAGAGGTTTTTATTGAAGGAAACACAAAGAAGAGCCGCTGACATTTTGTTATTATGACAATGTGTTTTTTCTTGTGAATGAATGAACAAACTTTGGCAGCATAATAGTGTACCTTGGCCCTCCATCTTAAAAAATAAGCAATAACTTGGATTTCTCAAAACCTGAGAAAATTGTGCTCAACTCACCATGAGATTTTAGATCATCAACTGGCCAGACACCCGCTGCACAGCTGTGCCCGTTTAGGACAGCAGATGGATTCCAGTAAATTAGAGAACAAGGATGGCAGCCGGTGAAACCTTATCGTTTCTTTTTTTTATCAAAGTCTACCCTTTAAACATATTAATGGATGTCAAATTAAAGGAAATAATGGTATGCGAGTCACTGTATGGATTCAAATTAAAAATCAAAATCAATCGAATGATAATAAAATGAGGGAATATATTTCCAAAGAATACTGTTCAAAGATAGATTCAAGAGGCAGTGGAGCTGTTTTGGAGGCTAGTGGTGGCTTTTTATTCCCTAATATAGACCCCTTCAGGTTAAATTCTTAAATTTTTCCCCATTAGGTAGTTACCAGATAGGGCTGCAGCTAATGATTATGTTTATTCATGATTAATCTGTTAATTATATTCTCTATATATTAATCATTTGGTCTATAAAACTTGTCTGGTATCAAACAGAACTGCCAACTCACTACACTCCATTTCCATCTAAGAATCAATCAACTCGGTGACCACGCCAGATTTGAAGATCTGCATCTAGGCAACCATAAAACATCTTAAAATGGTTGAAAATGCCCATTAAAGTGTCCTAGAGCACAAGATCATATCACAAAACGTCTTGTTTTGTCTGACCAACAGTGCAAGCTTTTGCACCCTTATCTTTGTGTGAGCTACAGAGTGACATTTAACTAGATTATTTTATAAGCATATCAGATTACAGGATTAAGTACTATTTGAGTGCACATGCCCTGTTACTGAGTAACGATAACTCATTTCCAATGTTTTTTAAATCTTTTCTTTGAATGTTTTACTGTTTTGTTTTTAGTCTGTTGTTTGTTCTTTTATTTGAAACTTTATGCTGTTTTCTCAGCCAAGACTTCCTTATATGAGAGATTTTGAATCTCAATGGGAATATTCCTGGTAAAATAAAGGTCAAATAAAATGAAATACAATAAAAAGTGACTAATAATGAATTTCTATTGGCTAATGAATTAATCAACTAATCATTGCCGCTATTCAGGTAAATGTCAAGAGAGACCTGGCCAAGGAGCAGCATAACAGACTAAGACAACTGTCAGATGCTGGAAAAGAGTACAGAAAATACCCAATGGTGGGTACCCAGATGCATTAACAGCTATGAGTTTCTAAAAATATACATATTACACAATTATGCAAAGCTCTAGGTCAAGATATTAGATATTTGTTCAATCTGGCTACAAGTCTACACATAAAGATTAGAAAATAAAGATACCTTTTTACACTTTAGGACTCAATGAGCTGGACCTTTGAGTGTTTTTATTGACGTTATAATGTCACATAGTCGCCTTAGAACAAGGACCATCATGGAAATAAGTCTTGGACTAGACTGTGTCATCCTTGGGTTTTTGGTTGTTCTGTGTGATTTTAAACTCCTCAATCTGATATTGTCACACTTTATATTGTTTTTTTCTTTAATTTGGCACCCACTGTGCATGATTTAGGCCATTTAAAAGTGTTACTTGGATGTTGGAGTATTATAATATTGTTATGATGTAAGGGATTATCCTCAGTGACCTTTTTTATATTTATCAAATTACACGTATGGATTTTATTCTATTTCTGAAGACAATCCTTGTGCTAAAATCTAATTTAAACTGGCAGAAATCGCAGTCATGCGGGTTAGATTGTTTCTTAAACGCTGACATGAGGCGCATCACTTCACCTTCATTTGTCCCGCCTCTGTTGAAGAAAGCCCTTCAGCACCATGGACAGCGCCAAAAAAAAATAAAAAATCAGCCCCACAAACCAGCACGTGTTCAGAGCTAACTGCCACCCCTTGGTGATTTCTCTGAGTCAGTTAAATTCAATAACTCTGCATCTCAGATTTGGCCTGAGAAAATCGGTTAAACCCTTGCAGGTTCATTCAATATGCCCATGGTGCTGTTAAAGCTTTCATGACCTGCATTTACTTTCCACTGATGCCTCGACTCCCAGTGACAAAACAGCAGTCTAGTAGCCCTTCGCACTGTTAAACCCCCCCGGGGCGCACTCTTAATGTATTAACCCATCGCAATCAGCGGGAGGGGGGTAGATTGGGTGGTTAAGTAAGTTCCTGTAACCACTTTTAATTATAACAGCGCAGCAGCGCGGGAGACACAGTTTTCCACCTTAAGGCTGAGACTGCAATTGAGCTGCTGGCGGAGGAAAACAGAAACTTCACACAGCCTATTATATAATTAGTATAGGGGGTGTAAATGTGATAGTGGTGGGGTATTCTAATCAGAGGCACAGAGCGAAAAACACAGACTGATCTGGAGATAACAGGAGGGGAGTAACAGTGGCACAAAAAAGAGAAGTTTGGCTGGAGGAAGGTGCCTTGAATCTGGACGCCTGCCCCGAAGAAGAAGAAGATGATGAAGATGAAGATTTAGGATGGGTGGTGGGGAAGAAAGAGATGGGGGAGATCAGACACACTGCATCATTTAAGTACTGCGGCTGATGTCATTTCCTAAGCACCATAATTGGTCATCAATGACTCTTAAAGCTGTGAAGAATGGCTAAATGAAAACACACACACACACACACACACACACACACACACCGTTCCCATGGGAGGTGTTGTAGCTTCACTGATCCATTGAAACCTTAATTGCTCGGACCTTACACCCCTCCGCTCTCTCTCTTTGACTCCCCCCCACTCCCCTCTTTCCCTCTCTCTATCTCTCCCCCCTCTCCCCTCTCTCTCTCTCTGTTTCTCTCTCTGTGTGTCTGACTCTCTCTCTCTCTCTCTCTCTCTCTCTCACACACGCACACACACACCTGCTGAGGAGGGCAGCTATCTCCCATTGAGCTCCACGGCGTCGCATATTTCCCGCTCACCTATACACAGTCGCACCTCTGCTGCCGTGCCCCCCCCCATGTGGCGCCTCCCTTACCGGACTGGACCGATAAATGGGTTAACTCTGTCATCGGGAGTAGCCGAGATAAATGCACCGGGAGAGCGTCGGGAGATCCCTTCCCATCCCTCCGCTGCTGTTTGAACGATCTGCGCTCAAAGACATCATCCTGTCCACTCCGCCGTGTTGATTCGACAGAGTAGATTGAATTTTAAATCGTGATTTATTATTGTATAAGAGGCGACCGGCATCATCATCAGCAGCAGCAACAGCAACAGCAACAGCAACAGCAGCACCGGTTCTTAGACCCAGACCCGTGGGCGGCTGGGTGGCGTCCGTCTGGGCGAGCTGATAGGACGCAAGATTTGGCACTCTACCTACCAACTGCTTCATCCCAAAATTTCAAGATATGGCGATGAGAAGTAAGATGTAGAAAACGGATGGGAGGCCATTCATGTGTGTCTGGGCTTCAGCTAAAAACGGATAAAATCTCCCAGCACCATCACCCACCTCCTCCTCCTCACCAAAACCAGTTGATTTTTTGGGGGATTTTCTTTTTTTAAATAGGCTAACTATCTAAAAAGTGTGGAGCACATGACACACTGGTGAATCCCCGAGGCTGGTCCCACACTCAGACTGAATGAGTCCATCTTTGGCTGTCGGACGGACTCCTCAACAGTGCAGGACGGATGCAAACACACTAAACACATCTTGGCAATTCAAAATACCCTCAGCGTCTCCGCCAACGGTGTTCTAACCGAGCGGGGGAAATCTGACACCGGGGGGACCAGTCGTTTCACAGGCAGGTAGGTAGGCTAAACCCCGGCGGTTAATTAGTGTGTCACCTCTGGGTTGGAGTGTTAAAGGTGATAAAGGTGATTACCGCGACCGACCGCCCATGCGTCGGTGCCGCTGATGGCCGCAGGAACCGCGCAGGCGACTGCACCTGTTGTAATCTGTGTGAATGCGCGGAGCGCGCCTCTGCGCGAGCGTGTGCGCGCGTGTATATAGACTTCTGTGTATGTGTTGACAGTCTAGATGAGCTGTGGCGTCTTAATGGCTGACAAGAGAATTGTGTCTGTGTCTATTTGCATTCAGTATCCGACTATTTCAACTGCTCCTCAAAATCTTTCCCCAGCTGTTTGTGTGCGTCGCGCGCGTTGGTGCGCGCTGCGTGGGCTTGATCGGTGTGATTAGGTGATTATAGGTCCATCACACACGCGCTATAAGTGTAATTAGAGTATAATTGTCTCAACACGCAGCGGGATGTAAAGCACTCCATCAGACATTATACATCATGCTTTGTGGCTTCATCAGACGTTCTTCTGTTCATTCAGCTGGAGCAGCTCACATATTGGTTCTGATAAATGAGGACTGGCTGCAGTCTAAAGCCCAGTTGTATTCATCCTCATTGCCAGATGCTCTAAAACTCCACAGTCATAAAGCGTGATGGCCAAATCTGTCACCTGCCTCACACACATTCATCATCTGATACCCTGGAGGAGACCCGCCTGTGGATGGTAACGGATGGAAGGTGTTACAGTACGTGCGTGGTGTTGGGCGGTGTGGGTGCGAGCATTTTTGGCGGGTAGCGCGCATGTTTTTTTTTTTTTAATTCTCAGGCACCCCATTCTCTGTGCAATAAGGGTGACATGTAGCAGAGGCTTTGAAACATCAGGCGGTGTGAGTCCAGCTGCTTTCCTTCCCCTGCAGATGCGCGCAGTGTGGCAGACCACTGGTGTCCAACTCTGTTCCCGTCGCGTGGGGCTCTTTTAACATCCAACAAACGTTGTTTCATCAGACCATCTGACAGAAGATCAAGGGCACATACGTCCACATCTCCTCTGGCCGTGCTGGTGGTGAGGCGCCAGAGCTATTCAGTTGGCGCAGCAGCTGGTGGTGGGGTCAGATAGAGCGTGTTGGATGACCCAAGTTGACCCCCGGGAGAGGCGGCTGTAGGCGACAAGATGGGCAGCCCATCCAGCGCCTCTGCTGAGGAAACGATTTTAGAGTACAGCCTTGATGGGTAAGAGAGAGACAGCAGAGATCACAGCTGTGTGGAGGCTGCCTATCTTTGCCCAAGGTGACTTCAGTAGGACACAGACAATGTGACATTGAGCAGAGACAGAAAAGCAAAGACAGCAAGTTATTTGAATTCGATTCATCATTTTTTATTATTGGTTTAACAGTAAATCTAATAAGAAGCCATTTTATTGCTGGTAGCCTGTTGAGGTAACTTGTCTGTCCTGTTGTCCATTTTGTTTGGCTTTGTAGTCTATCTGACAGATCGCAGAGTTGCAGTTTATCCAACACCGGAGCTTTAATTCATCAATAGTGGTCCCTTATTAGTTTTGGCAGGAGGCAGGTGCCTTATCTCCAAAACTGGAAGAAGACATGGAGAGATAACATTTTAGTGGCTTGAAGTAAAAAGAGAATCATTTGTTGATTTATCTTGGAAGTTTGTCTGGCCAGCTCACAAATCTCACACACATCAGAGAGTCCCTGGATGAAGTTAAATCACACAGTTTTGCATGTTTTGATGGTTAATGGGTGGCTGCAGCTTGTAACAAGCTGTTTTCCTTTGATCTGGGCTTGATAAGGCTTTATTCTGTTGTCTTGTCAGGGCTGCCTGCTTGTGATGGCAGCCTTGTGCATGTGTTGTTGGAAAAATACTGTTGTGACCTCCCAGTTCTTTTCTGCCATTCTGCTAATGCATTTCTCTCCATGGGGACAGAGGGAGGTGAGGAAAAAACATGATTCTCCTTTCTCCCCATTCCCAGCTTTTTGGTTCAATCTCAGTTGCTCCTTTCCCTTCATCTCAGCCTCTTCCCTCCCGTCTGAGCTTAAATTCGTTCTGATCACCACACTGCAGACTTGAAACTGGGCTCCCTGGGGCGCAGGTGACCCCGTAGTTCAAACACTGTCAGTCAGCCTGCTTTCATTTGCTCCTTTCATCCCCCCCCCCCCCTTTTCCTGTCTCTCTCTCTCTCACCTGTCTGTCTGTTCTTCCTCTTCTTGCTCTCTTCTGCCAGGCAATGAGACTTATCAGATGGAGGTTTGCTGCTAAAGCTTGTCCTTGTCAGCTCTCATGTCCGTCTCTGTGACAACAGTCTGTGTTTTCACGAGTAGAAAAACCACAATCTAAAAATATATGGGAGAAAAATCAGGAGCGAGTGAGAGAGAGGTAGAAAAAATGAGAAAGAATCAGCGTGTGACTGAGTTTGATGTATGTGTATGTGCGTCTGCTGGTTTTTGCCATGTATGAGTGGGTGTTTCTGTCAGGGGAACAATTGTGAGAGCAGATGGACTGTTGAAATACATTCTCATATTAATTTCATATCATATGTCTTATTAATTTGTCCACTGATTAAATAATTGCTGGGTCCTGTTTAATGTGGGGAGTTGAAGACTTTAGGGTTTTTCATTTATTGAACAGCCATTAAATGTTCATAATTCTTCATTGTGACTTTTCATCCTGTCTTTAGTAGATAGATTAGATATATTCACTTGTAAGTGCACAACAAATCACTGATACATAGTGACAAACTGTGTATCATGATGGAAATATAAATCATTCTCCTCTGCTCAACTGTACCCACCACAGAGAAAATATATGTGTTTCTAACAGACATGCATGCAATAATGCACCCAGGGGAATTTAAACATGCAAAGATGCAAAATACACTCCAAAATAAACCTTTTGTATACATGTGCACATAAATTAACTATATGCATGTACCAATCTGCTGTATCTGCATATACATGCCAACACACATACGTAGACACCATAAAGCACATGTTTACTCAAGTATATGCAGTGCTGGTGGTACTGAAATGTGATGCAGAGGTGTAATTATCTTTGAAAAAGCAGCCAAGGTTGTCTCTACCTCTCTCACTTGGTAATACGTATTAGTAGTCATACACTTATAAACGTGTTGCTTCCTGAAAAAAGCTTCCTTGTTTCTTCTGTCAAAGGTTTGCGTCCATCATATCGGAATGAACGTGTGTGATGTGATTTTTTTTCACTCAACATTTCAGTTGTTTTATCTGCCATTTTGAGAAACTGAAGTAAAAGGCTTCTTGTGCCGTTTCATATGATAAAACAAACCTGATGCCACACGAGGTAAAATGTACTGGAGGGGCAGCCAATCTCCTTAGTGATTATCTTATTTATTCATTTAATTAAATCTTAAAATTAATTAACTCTCAGAGTTAATGTGGCAATATATCATTGATATTGTCATGCTTCACTTGGCAACTTAAAGCAACACTGTGTAACCTTTTACTAAACAGCAGCCAGTGTGACCAGAACTGATAATTTTGGAAAAATGATAACATGCCATGTTTGAGCAGGAGAGTCCAGAAGAGTCATAAAGTTAGCAAACTGACTTTCACAGCAACAGCTAACATTAGCCACCACAAGCTACTGGTCATACCAGACCATGGATGGCTATAGCAGTGTTTTACTGTTTATAAATTCTATTTCTCATTTGTAAGAGGAAAATGTGTTATTTCCTCCTTCAAAAGTTACATATAACACAGATATAACACAAATATTAAATTTTAAAGAGTTCATTCTGTATGTTGCTCTCGGCAGGTAGTAAGTGGATAATGATCCAACAATGAAACCTTAGCGTGTGTTTTCATCTTGTTGGCCGAAACCTATGTCTGCAGAACAGGTACATGTCAAGTACCTTTAATGTGCCGGTGGGACAAGAGTAGAACCAGGAGCAGATGGACTGAAGACTACATTACCTCAGAGCTCACAAACTATGTGCACATACACACCTTTCTGCAAACACACACACACACACACACACACACACACACACACACACACACACACACACACTGTTTGCTGTCTAGCTCTCATGCACATGTACACACAGCCATTTTCACACCCGGTGTCCTCTACAGATCACCAGAGCAGACTTGCACCTATCCCACGGCTCTTAACCTTTTACACTGTCTTTGTCTTTACGCTCAGTCTGTGTCCTTTCCCTCCCTTGGCTCGGATTCCAAGATCCACAAAGAGTTTAAGTCTCAAATAACAGTGTGGAGAGGAGAGGAGAGGAGAGCGTATGTTTATACTTTGACCATGTCTCCCCTGAAAAAGACATCCCCACTTCTATCTCTATCTCTTCTGTCTGGCAGCAGCCCGCTCACAGAATACTCTTGGGATCACTATCTCTTCCTCCCTGACTCCCTCCCTCCCTATCCTTCTTTCTCGCACTCACCTCGACTCAGTTCAGTTCAGCGTGTACTATTGGCAGCAGTATTACATGAAGCATATTGCCAAAGTGTCAAAATATTACACTGGGAAAGCCCTCAGAGGGGGCAACTCTCATGAATCAAATCAGAGAATCGCTCTGATCACACGACAGCAATGGGCCGTGGTTGACTGATGCCTTGTCATGCCCTGAGGTCTCTCTGAGGTGTTGGGTGGCAGTGGTGATTGTATGGCGGGACAGGAAGTCAGAGGATTTGACGAGGGGTTGGGGGGGTTAGCAGAAATGTTAGCGAGCGACAAGACTTTAGTGCTTTTCCTCTGTCGACTAAGGAGACTGAACAAAGAGCGAGCAGGAGAAAGACAGCAAGAGAATGATCGCTAGATAATACAGAGTTCCTGATTATACTCTGGTATTTATCAGAACAATAACAGTGGAATGTTTTTTTTGTGACTCCATTGAATTATAATATGATTACATAATTTGTCACTGTGATTGTGTCACAAGGAGACAGTGGTTTCTCCCAGAAAGGAGCATTAGCAGAGTAGAAGGAACAATGTTCCCTCCACAGGAGATTGTGTTTCTAAAAAAGGCTCCTGACTGCGCTGGTAGCCGGGGCTTGAATACACATGCCCATACTGACACAAATGGTTCTTACCTTTCGTTTTCTCTCTCAAACACATGCTAGGTTTATTCAGAAACTGTGCGTATGTTTTTGCTCTGCAGGGAGAAGATGCCATTCCACCATGTGCGGGCGGGCCTGCTCTATCCAGACAACTACCTGAGCAGCTCCCTGACGGAAGGCAGTGAAGCCTTCCAGCTCACCAGCATTTCCACCGAGGAGCTGGGAGGTGAGTGTGCCAACAGAGACACAGAGAGAGAGAGAGAGGGCAAGAGGTGGGGTGGTTTGCAGAGTAAAGTGTGAGGCACTGGGCAATTAATGTTTCACTAGAGGAACAATGCAACTACAACGCCCCAATTCTCCCAGGGATAAGTTTTTCCATTTAGCCATTTTGTCAGAGCTTGACTGGATGCATTGGTTTCCAATTATGGTGCTTAGGAAATAAAATCAATCACAGGACTCAAAATGAAGTTCAGAAATTCAATATATATGTCCGGGCCTGAATTAGGACACCACTATACTGATATTCCTCCTAATCCAAGTTTACAATCAACTGTGAAAATTGATGCCACCAGAACTCACAAAGACCTGTTTTATGGGTGGGGAGATTGTAAGCAAAGGTGATGTTTTGAGCAACACTGCTCTTCATCAAACAACATCAAGATGCTGTGTGCTCTATCAGGATATAATGTGTATGTGTGGATGTACTTTTGACCATGTTATATTACCACATTAGAGACTCTGTTCATGTTGACTCATTATGTGACTGAATCATGTGTATATAAGATGGCGTTGTGCATTGTCAGTTTGATAAACAGCGGTGATGCTCGAAATGTTACCTTGGTGAATTAAATCAGAGCCCTGCAGTGCGCTAGCTGTTTATTTATCTAATTATTTGCTCAGCACCTGCTCTTGTTTGGTTTAGATATATATTTATGAACGTAAACCACTGTATTAAATGCTTTCAATGTTGAACCACCATGTTTCTACAGTAGCTCAGACCAGACAAACCAAGCACTGGCTCTAGACAGGGCCTTTCACGTAGTTTCTCCTACACACTTCACAGCCTGTTCTCATTCCCAAGTTGACAAATACAGACACAAGCATTGTTCAGTCAATTGCAGTCAGCAACTTCCTAGCTAGATGCCACTGATTCCTACACACTGGTCCTTTAAAGCAGTGGTTCTCAACCTGAGGGTCAAGTACAGTACACAAGGTGCAGTTATTCAGTCAATTGAAAATCATAAATTAGTTGTTGTTCTGTCTGGGGCAGGGGGGTCCCAAATTTGTCATAACCAATGGCCAGAGCTAAATAAAACCCAAGTAGTAACAACCACAAGGGAGTTTTACTTCCATGCAGACTGGCTGCAGGCTGAGGGCTCCTAAAGCATGCCGTATGTGATTACATTTGGATCCTGATTTGAGGCAATCCTATGACGTAACCTCACATGTGCTATTTGACAAGCTGCAGAAAACAAAGACTTCTACACTGCACTGAGAGCGTATATTTCTTACATGCGTTGCTTTGGTGACAAAGAAACAGCTACAGTAATCCTTTCACCAAGCGAGGACCAACAGCATGACAGTGTGTTTCTGACTGAAGCTGTTTGTTTGTGTTTATACATGTGGCCTATTGTAGTTTGCTCGAATGAGCTTTGGTATGAAGTACTTTGTCCCATAAATCTTTTAATCCAGCGTCCCTTGTGCACAACTCGACTCAACCCAGTTCACTGAAACAGTTGTTTTAGTCCACTGAAGCTGGTACAGTGACTGAAATGCCTCATCCTCATTAGTCCTGTTGGCCAATGTCTGTGTTTGGTTTGTCAAGGACAATGAGAAGGGTAAAGTAGTTTGGACCTATAGAGCTATTATATAAATTGAATCTGGACTCTTAGACTCCAGATATTATGATGAAGCATTATCTAGGCCCTGTCAGCCACAGATGCAACTTAACCAATGGGATTGTTTGATGTGGACAAAATATCCGTGGTATTTGCTGCCAGCATTTGAAAACTCCTAATCCCACTTCAGAGAGATGCTGAAGGTTCTTCTAGGATCATCTGTTAGCAGAGATAGAAGGCTAGTTAATCACCCCTGTGTTGGAATCGCTGCTATCCTTTTCTCTGCTTTTGAGGCGTTTCATCAATCACAGTGAGAACATGTACAGTCCTGGGGGGTTGACTTCATAATACACAGCCACACACAGGCAGGGCTGAATGCTCATACGCAAACACACATACACACAAGCATTGCACTGTTGTACATCACGGACCAGCTCATTCGTAGCCCATTGAAATTGTACGCTTTACTGTTGACCTGCATACAAATGCATCTCACTTTGTTTTTGGGAGGCCGCACACGCAACCGTATTCCCAAGCCCTTGCCTCTGACTCTCACTTTATTTAGTAAGGGAGGCAGTGGCACGGTGCTCAAGTCTAGCTATCAGCCGTAGGGGATATTTACAGGCTCAGATTGGGGCTACGACTGAACTTCAACTCCCATGCAACTGACAGCAAAAACAGACATAGGAGGCAGATCTGAGACAGACTTATTACACAGAGGAAGGAAGGAGCAGCATGTCGGGACGAGAATATTAATGACACACAGCCTGAGAGAGACACAGAGAGAGATGAACTTCATGTAAAATTCATCGTTTAAGTTAGGAAAAGGATTAGTCTTGGGGAAATTGTGATTTAAATTCCGACGTGCAGCCGGCTATTACTCTTCTCGATTGTGTTTCTCCTGTAAAGATTTGCACAAATGCCGTATGCCAGCTGAAATGACACCCTCTCCCACCCCTGAAGTGTGGAGAGCCACAGAAAAATGGAGCGCTCGCCTGTGAAAAGATGTTGAATAAAGACTTGCAAAGTCTTTCCTGTCCCTGCTGTCTTTATCAAGTCGATAAATTCGACCACCACCACCCCAGCCCAACGCAATGCCTCCCATCTTCCCACCACCGCACAGATAGTGCCAACTGATTGACAAGTAATTAGCCAGAGATTGACCATGGTATTTTGTAAGAATGTCCTCAGAGGTTTGAGTAATTGTGCTGCACGAACAGATAGATGCCTCGTGAGCTGTGCGCATTTACTTGGAATTTCAAGTTAGAAGGAAGCCTTTTATGTGGGAGGAGAGAGTCGGAAATGCTCTTGGCAATGCTGGTGGTGATTGTGCTGTGTGGAGGGATTGGTCCAGGTCCCTCTGGGTTTGTAAAATACAATAAGTGTATAAAGATGCAAGAGAGACAAGGAAAGAGAGTGAGAAAGAGGGGAGAGGAGGGAAGAGGAAGGGAGGGAGGGAGGGCGGGAGATCACCCTCACCTTGGTTTGCCTGAGGATGAGGCTGCAGCACTTCCCGTTAATGGGAAAGCCTGTTATCAGCACCAGGGAACCACCTTTCAGCACCATCTACAGACCTGCTAAAATCTGTTAATCATTAATTTCATCTCATGGATTAGTCCTTGTCACTGATACCATCTGACAGCTCACTGTTACATTTTGGGATTGTATGAGGCTGATGATGCGATCATACTTGAAACAATTGAAACATTGTGTCATTAAGCAGTTTTTATGGTTACAATTTAGTGAGAGGGTTGTTTGTCACTCCCTGACAAATGGACACATCAGCATTTTCTGATCTGGTGCTTGTTGTTATGGTTAGAAATGAGTCATATCAGCATAAAAACCGCTTGGTTAAACCTGCGTTAAATGAACATTTCTGGACACTTAGAACAGGTTGTAAACACAAGACTGATAATCACCTTTTAAGCTGATATGGTGAACATGTGCAAACAGTAGCTTATTTACACATCCAGTAGTTAAGGACCAACATTATCATTCATTTGGAGGTGTGTCATTCATTTTCCTTTTCCTCTGCTTTTGGCCTCTATCACCACCTCCTCAGGGAAATATCTGGCTCTTTAGCTGTTAAATGCTTCACTATGTTCAACAGCGAGTCACTAACTGTCTCTGTCTGCCGCTTGGTGCCGAGCAGTTAGTGTACGATTGGTTTTTAGAGCTGTATCATTGAAAACAACTGCCCACTGCATTGCGAAGCACCAAAAACAGTTCAGTTGTGGGCTGGAAAATGAAAACAATAAGCAAACTCTGCACAGCTATGGAGAAACTGCACAGTCAGGTAATAATTTAGTCTCTTTTCGTTTATTTAAGTGACCCATTTAACATACAAGTAGTAATTTAAGCCATTATTTATATAAAAATATTCATTACAGCCACTTTAGTGTAAAATAGTGAATGCAGTAATTATTTTAATGAATCAATGCTGAACGGAGGTAGGAGACAGGATGCAAACAGTGGTTTCCAGTGTCAAAGTCATACAGTTTGATGACCCAACCATCCACCCCAATCTCCCTTCTAAGAGGTATTATGGTGTTATGACAACATCACATTATTTCTGCCTTTGCCCCTGAGAGACAACAGTCATTATTTACACTACCACAAGATCTGTAGTGTAACAAGCAGTGTAGTCAAGGAAATGACAACAAACATCACGCAGGAATGCCAAGATCAAAAACACAGAATGTCAAGGAGACAATTTGAAAAAAACAATAACGCACACATTTTTACAAATGAATAAGGAAAACAAAATTAAAAGTCAGAATTATTGCACAAACAAATATTCCAATAATATGACAAATGTTTCAGAGAGTCAGTCACAGCTTCACAAATATGAATGAATAAAAGGAAATTAGTAGAATCACACACACCACTCAGTCAATCAATTAAGTTCCAGCCTTGGATTTTTAATGGTAATAAAGAGATGAAGTGTTTAATTTCTGCTGTGATGAGCCCCGACCTTTAAGGCCGAGAGGATACAAGAGGAAAATAAATGTAAAAGTAAAAGAGAGCTGAAAGACACATTCACATCCTGCACCACACCTGCCAACCTTGTCCCAAACTAACCAGAAAGCCACACATCACCAACAAAAATTAACACATAAAAAATAAATGGATCTACCACAATGTTAACAAAGCATTCAATAAATATCAATAAAACAATTTATGTATATATAAGACAGACAGACATACATAGATCATATCATATGTACAATCAAATGTTGTGATTTTGTTGTGCAGAGATCCGTGAGGCATTCCGCGTTTTGGATCGTGATGGGAATGGTTTCATCTCCAAACAGGAGCTGGGCATGGCCATGCGCTCCCTGGGTTACATGCCCAGCGAAGTGGAGCTGGCCATCATCATGCAGAGACTGGACATGGATGGTGAGGCACTACATAAGGACACACACTTGGGTGCATCCACAGAGCATACATGGACACATGCAAACACTAGAAGAGAACCTTTTCATAAAAAAGTGGCTATTTAATATATACTGCATGTATATAATGTTTGTTTATAGTTTATATTAAATATGATGTGTATACACTTGATGAGCTTATTTTAATTGATGTAAATGAAAATGATGCCAAAACAAAGAACTTATTGCCTCTTTCACTTGCTTGAGGCAGAGTGGGATTTTGAGTTACAGCTTCCTTCACAATGTCCCTTTAAAACTGTTTCTAAACTGCCCTAAAAGCAGCAGGTAGTCAATTGTCAAAAACAAATTCCCCTGGGGACAATGAAGAGAGAACCTGTCTGGTCTGGCTCCTTAAACTCCAGCTCTGCTTGTAAATTCACAGTGGATTGCAATTACTCCTAAGGAGTTCCTGCATCACAGACAAGATAGTCAATCTCTCAACTGGATCTTATCTGCCTGCTTTTGATTCCACAGCTTGCAGTAAACATCAAAGGTCAAAGCTAAAAGCTTTTTGCTTTAGCCTCCATGAGCAGTCCGACCATCTGAGAGCAGTGCTGCCATTTGTTCTGAGGAGGGACAGTATCGGTCTTAAGATCCTCTACCTCTGACTTCTATCGTCTCGATGTCATTGCTAGCAAAGCACTGAAAGTAACAGACACCATTAGTTTAAGACTGTCAGGTATTATCAGGTGTTAGACAACCTGTACAGTTCTTCAGATGATTAATTTTATGTCATTAAAACCCGTCTTAGGAAATCTTAATCCACTGATCTCTGGCATTATCTTCTTATCTTTCCTTTAGGGTTTAAATGTAAGATTATATTATGCTCATTTAAAGCTGAATTTTTCAGAAACTGCAGTCAGGTTTCAGAACAAAGAACCGATGCTGTTTGATACACCAATAATATACTGTATTATAAGGTCATGCTTTATTTTTACCTGATATGTCCTTGTCAAGAACTGTCTAATTTGGCACTAATCATGGTGGAGAAGGCACCTTGAAAGAACAGCTGCAGAAACTTAATTCTCCATACATGTTGATTTGCTTGCAATTAATTGGAATTAATTCATTGCAAGAGTACCAACTGAAGATTGTCTCCATTTTCTCTGTAATTAGTATAAAATTAAAAAGTCCTTTCCAGGAACCTCTTGGAAATTATTCAGAAATTACAGACCCATAAAATAAAGTGTTATCCTACTACCAAAACTAACACAGCAGTACTAAGGATGTAGACTGTGTAGACTGCTAATACTTCTTATATGCTACTTATTGTAACAAACAATAAACAGAACATTAGACAGCACTGTAAACTGGTAAAAATCAATATTGACAATATATACTTAATAAGTCTATGCAGTAACTCATATAATACAAGCTGTAGTGGAGATGTTCACTGAGTATTAATTCTACGGGACACTGCCTGTTGATTGCTATCTCTAACAACATGCAGCAGTAGAATACATAATGTACACTTACAAGTTGTGTCCTTAGAAGTTAAATTTGCAAAATGTTCCCTGAATTGTTGCTTCAATGCAAAAACGATCCCACAATTGCTCGAACACAGATGAACATGTGTGCGCACTGGCACAGGTGCACACACCTTATTTGAAAGGTGAATTAGTGGTGATGATGCATGGGTGCTTGTCATGGATGAAGGCACATCCATCTGTTGATTTGTCTCAGGGCGCTTTTCTTTGTTTCGGCAAGAAAGTAAACTTCAGCATAAAATGCATTATTTAGCTCTGGTCTGCCAGCCTTCCTGTTTGTGTGTCTGATTTTCTATTATCCCGGTCTGTCTCCCTGCCCGTGTGTGTGGTTGTGTGCGTGTGTGTGCGTATCTGCCCACAGGGGACGGCCAGGTGGACTTCGAGGAGTTCATGACGATACTGGGGCCCAAACTGCTGTCGTCCGACAACAGAGAAGGATTCCTGGGCAACACCATCGACAACATCTTCTGGCAGGTGAAAGACAAAGCTGGAGTTTCTCATCACTCACAATCCTCGTCATTTATCAGTTCCATCTTGTACGCCTCCTCTCACTAACTCTGGCTCTGTATTTCAGCAGTCAGAGCTTACATCCTTAAGCAAAGCCCTAGTTTCTGCAGGGACTCGGCACAAGCATGCACCTACTTAAGTGCAAAAATACACATATACACACACAAAAACACACTTTCAGACCCCCCACCTGCTTCTTCTGTTCCCTGACAAAAAAATACTTTTTTTCTTTTCGCCTTGAAGGAAAAGAGACCTGCTGAGACATGACTGTGTTTCTTTACTGAGTTATGTTTATGATTTTGGGTTTGGGTGTGCGTGTGTGTTTATCTTTCACAGTTTTGCGGAAGGTATTACCATCATAAAGATTTCAGGGATGTGCCCCTGTATGTGGAAAGTCTGAGCTTGTGTGTTTTCAAGTGTCCAAACTGGGCACAGTGGTGAATAAAGCTGTGGTTCATCTACATGCTTTTGAACCTGCTTCCTTTGTTTTTAAAAATTGTTCTGGACAGAAAATCTGCTGCTCTCAGAGTGGGTTTTTTTTTTGCTTCTTATGTAGGCTAAGACATGCGACAATAATGAAAAGTGCAGCGTTTTGAGTGTGTGTTGGGGGAGTAGGGGTAGTGGGGGGCGGTTGAGTGTGAGGATGGCTGGTTGAGCAGGGTGACAGCTCTCAGGAAGCTGTTCTCTGCTTTCCTTGAGTCAAATGAGAGGAGAAACATTTAGAGGGTGACTCACTGAAATGAGGAGGTGTGTGTGTTTCAGGTTACACACATTTACATAGGCATTCCTTATCCTAGATTTCATTGTGCAATCTCTTCAGAAAATATTGACTATTTATGCCATTCACACATGAGAAAACAAACAAAATTCATGCAAAAAACGGCTGATTTTAACATCAAGATCATTTCCTAAATTGTATGAAATAAAACACCTTCTATAAATGAGACGCATTGCATCTATAAAGCAGGGATGGAGCAAGACGGACTACAGTGTGCCAGCCAACAAGGCTGAAAGAGATGAGAGAATAGAGAGGGACGCTGGACAATATGTGAGGATGGGGAGGGTGGTAGTGGTGGTGCAGGGGGGATGCCCCACATAAAGATACAGGAATATGAAGGAAAACCACAAAGGAGGAGAGTGGGAGAAAATGAAAGAAGAGGTACGAGGTGTGTGATTCATGAAGGTCGCAGACGGTGTGCGTCTCAGGGGTGATTTAAAATGTTCACCTTCCACAAAGAGTGACAAACCAAAAGAAAACAGGAAGAAGGGGACGGAAAAATGAGAGGAGAGAGGGAGCGAGCAATGAAAGCAGAGAGCAAAACAAAAAATAGTATAGGACGAGAGGAGGAGGAGGAGGTAGAGAGAGAAGAAAGGGGATGAAATGGTGGGAGGAAGTGTGTCTCTGAAGACTGTGAGAACTGTGTGTGTGTGTCTGTCTGTTTATATTTCACAGACCTCAGAGGGAGACAGGAGGAGAGGGAGAGTCATTGTATTGCAAAGAGAAAGACGGAAGAGAAGGAGGCACATCGTGGTGGGCCATAATGACTCAGTCCCGTGTGTTCAGATAATATCCACAGTGAGATGTATAATGATTGACTTCATTGGGGAAATTTGTCGCCAAGTTTTGTGTCACATTTTCGTCTGTGTGTGCGTAGAATAAATTCTGTGCGATTGTTCCCCATCTTGTTTGATTCAGTGTAGCATTGAAACATCTAGAATACATTTCTGTTTTTCTGTTTATCCTTTACAGTAGCATGGTCTGAGTAAAACCTCGGGGAGATTTGCTTTGAAAAACCCCTGACTCAAGTTACCGCATTCCTGCTGACAGTCAGTAAATTACATTTGAAAAAGGAAGCACCCACTCTTCCATTGCAAATTAAGCTACAGTGCCAAAAGATACAAAAACATTTTTTGCCAATATCATAACAGTGTTTATAGTCTCGAACAAATATGTTTTCACTGAGCAAAAGCAGGAGATAATTAGCAAAATCCTCTATCGGAGGCACACAGTACCTGAAAAATGTTATCAGTGCAATTACATTCATTTGGAGAATGCGTTTTGTCTTGAGGAGCTACATCAGTTTTGGGGTTATTGCTTAAGTACATTTGACACAACATGTGGGAAATATCGGGGATTAAACAAATGATAAATGGACCACCAAAGCTTGTTTAATCCTCTTTACCACAAATCATGTGTAGCCTTTTTAAAAAGTAACTTGACACCCCCTAAACATGTTTCTGATGATTACAGGTTAAGCTTTTTGCTTCACCTCCTGAGGTTTAATTTCTCACAATGCTGTAGTGATGTACACATGTACTCCAGGACCATGTGACATCATTGATCCCATGTGCGGACAGAGGTGAAACAGGCTTAAAACTTTCAACCAGAGACACCAGTGAAACACTGCTTTTCAGCCTTGTGTTAAGTTACTCTTTAATATTATTATGCAACTATAACTACTTGTTTATAGGAATAGTTTAACATTTTGGGCCATACCATTCTTATGTTTTTACGGTAAATATGAAGCTACAGCCTACAGCCCGTTAGCTTAGCTTAGTGCAGTCACTTTCTAGAGTCTCTGCTGGTTGCCTGGCAACCTCACAGTGACAACAAAAGGATGTTGCTGTGACCGACAAAGCAATAGTCCTATTTCCCCTCTTTATGCTAAACTAAATTAACTGTCTCATGGTTCCAGCTTCATATTTAACAGACATGACAGTTGTTTTGATCTTCTCATCTAGCTCTTGACAAGAAAGGGTAAACACAGATTTTCCAAAATGTCAAACTACTCCTTTAATGTTAGTGAAAGATTGTGGTCATGGGTAAAGGAAACCATGATTGAGTGATGGTAGGAGATGGGATGCTACTCCCTGGATGTCAAAGTAGCATGTAAACATTCACCTTGACCTTCTCCCAAGACATTCTGCAGTCATGTAGGGGGACAGCATCTCCATTTCAACCTTGATGAAATGGAGATTGACCTTGTTAATAAGACAAAACAGTCACATTCAGCTAAAGATGTCAACTAACAAGTCATTTAAAGCACTTGAACAACTGACATCTCTCTGGGCGGCCGACCAGTCAAAATATGTATTAAAGTTTTTTACCATTAACTTTTGTCAATATATATTTGTCAATGACAACAGATATTAAAAAGAAGGATGAAGAAAGCAGAATGAAATAGTCAGCCAGTGACAGGCTTATCACTCCCGTCTGCATCTGTTGTGACAGTCTGCGATGTTCATACTGATGACCAGGGATGCCAAATGCAGAGTAATTTAAAAAAAAGAAAACATGGTGTGTTGCTGTTACATAATAACTGCCATTTGGTGGATTTGGAAAGTGTAGTATCATAAGTGCAATTATTTTAACACTAGTGTCTAGAAAGTGACTGGGACAGGGCCTCTTCAGTTTTAGCACTGATTTCACTGTTTCAGCATCGACTGTGGAACATTTTCCTTCAGACTGACAAATCTGATGATTTATAAGAATTGTCTCTCATTACATCACACACAATTGTGCCTGGTTCCATTTCTGTGGCTCTAATTGATCTATTTTTCATTTGTGGTTGGCTGTAGCCTCTGCTGTCTTTGTTAAAAATAACTTATCTTACCTGCAGTTTTACACTAACATGCATCCTCTATGTGCACATATATATTTGCGTGCATCCTCTGTCTATATTCTCCTTTTGGTTAAAGCACTTTGGTACAAACGTGGTTTGTTTTAAAATAAAAAGACAGAACCTTCACTTTACTTGTAGGTGTCAACTAACCCTCACAGCACTGCTGTTAGAAAAATAGGAGAAAGAGTACAGAAAAAAAAAAACAATGCTCGCAGGTTGTCACTCTCTGTGACTTTTTAGAAAAGGGTCAGAAGACAAAGCAGGTGGACGACTGACGAAACAAGCTTTTGCTGTACGAGGGCAGGCAGGATTAGACGGGAGGGACGGAGTGTAAGCACCTGTTCTTCTGATTGATGTGTCCTGGCTTCTTCAGAATGTCACCGGTCACTGCTCACGATCCCCTGCTGTTTTTCTGTCACACACACACTCACAGGCACACAAATACACACATCACATATTTGAATTCTTTCAGTGAAATACAAAATTCTCTGACGGGCAAACTCTTCAGTCTTGCATCCCCTGTCACTATGTGTGTTTGTGTTGATGTCGAGGTCCTTCAGAGACTGGCCAGAGGGAGAAATCACTCTGTTGGTAACAGGTAGTGCCTCTGCTGTGGCTTTTCCCCCCTCAGACAGACAGACAGGAACATTGTACATTCTCCGTGCTCCCACTCTGAGCTGTCATGTTGTCTGTCCTGCGGCTTCAGTCCAAAGAGTTGTTCCTCCCTTTCCGAGCATCCATTCAAAGCAGAGACAGCTTTGGCACGAAGGAGAGCAGAAATCATGCCGCTACGGCCCTCCCAACTTCTGCTGCCGCTGCCTGTTTCTCTGCCCTGGAGTGCCACACAAGGTTGCATGAGTCAGAGCAGTTAAAGGTCCAATCTGTATTTTTGTTTGCACTTTTTGAATGTGTTCAAACTACTAAAATGAGGACACATGCTTAATACAGCATCAGAAAATATTAATAACTGAAATGAAGTTGTTGTGTAGTGTTCGTCCATATTTCAATCACTCTTTCACACCCTTGAAGGTTCCATATGTTATATAATGAGGCATTTGTTTCTTTTTATTTCCAATGTGTGAACGGGTTGTAACTTTAAAAATGAGACCATCCCCAGCATTCTCGAGTGCTTGTGGACACATGTTTATGCGTTTCTAGTGATGCAGATTTTTCTGATTTTCCGCAGAAAGGATGTGACCTTTATGCACGCTCCCGAATGCCTTCTCTCTTCGCTTTCCTTCATTGTCAACAGTGTGCAACACTAGCTAATGTTAGCTTATAACTGGAGTCCGCTAATGTCAACAAACAACCGACACCAACCATAACACAGAGTAAGAATCCAACAAAGTCAAACCTAACATAACTACAAGGTCTCTAAAATATATTTTGATATTGGCAGAGCCAGTGATGCCCAGGAATAAGCTGGATGACAAACAAGAACAGATTGGTGACAACTGGACACTCAGTTGACAGCTCGGAAAGATGGCAACTGGGGCAGGATGGGGTAGCAGTCCAACCTGCATATCCAACAAAGCTACAGACTGACCCACAGAGCCATTATCCCAGAGGAGTCAGAGAGTCCCAATAGGACAGACTTTACAATGACAACCTTGGCAAACAGAATATCAGCAATGACAACTGCAAGATGCATTTGTGGCAAAATCAGCAAGAATGAGCGTAGCCTTAAAGTCCATCAGGGTGCACAGGATCCACTCCTGGTGAGACACAGGAGGAGCTTGGCCTGGAGACAGCGCACAGAGCCCAGGATCTCCAAGTGCTAAGCTCTCCATCTCCCAGTAGTTAAGCAGCACCAGATCAAGCCAGCAACAAGCCAGCACGGAGAGTGGCACCACAATGCCATGATGAGGATGCAGCCAGAATGATTGAATCAGCAGCAAAGGAAAAGGCAGACAGACAGCTTCAGATGATGAAGCATCATTGTCAGTTTCACCGCAGACAAGTAGAATAGACCAAGACCACTAGACCCCATACCATGAACCAAAGGGCAGAAAATTCTAACAACTGCAGAAAAAGCTTCAGACTCTGGCAAGACAGTTTGAGGCAGCAACTGAGGAATAATCTCACAAGCCTGTGCAGAGCAGAATGGCACAAGAGAGAGAAAGAGTCAGGAAGCAAACGTGAGCTCCAGAGCTTGTGCATTGCAATTCACAAAGCAGCTGTTAGGGCAGAAGTGCAGCAGCAATATTGCCTGATCTAAGGAAGAGGTAGACCATGATGCAAGGTACTGGCATCCAACTAGCTAACTGTAGCCTAGGATTAGCTGGGGTTGCCTGGCTGGCTGCCTGGCTGTGGCTTGGCTCTGTGGCGTGGGTCTGGCATTGGCTGTTTTGTGACTGACTGGGAGATTTACAAACGGTAAGCTAATTAGTAGCATGGAGCCAATGGTCCAAATAAAATATAGGAATTTTGCAAATCTATATATGATTGTAATTTATTGTCCAATGTTTAGTCTCCTCGTCTCGTTTTGGCCAATGCCCAGGGTGCGAGCAACAGGATGCTGACTGCATTTCACCTAACGGCCACTAGTGTCATTATTGAAAACGTTTTTCAGAAAGAAACATATAGAACCATTACATTTTTTGTGATGGAATGACACTTTCGGGTGGCTGTGGCTCAGAGGTAGAGCGAGTCGTCCACTAATCAGAAGGTTGTTGTCCCCGGCTCCTCCTGCTGCATTTCAAAGTGTCCTTGAGCAAGATACTGAACCCCAAATTGCTCCCGATGCTGTGCATCCGTGTGTGAATGTGCATGAATGAGGTAGTTTATGTTTGATGGAGTTTGCTATCACAGTGTGAAAGGGTAAATGTCGCACTTAGTGTAAAAGTGCTTTGAGTGGTCGGAATCCTAGAAAATCGCTATACAAGTACAGGTCTATTTACATTTTAATTTTTTACTCTGACTAAGGTGCTTACAACTTATGATGCTGTAATTTTGAAACTTGTTTGTCGTGCCCTATCCTCTCCTGTCACTTTCGTTGGTATTGCTATTTAAAAAAAAGCTTCAAAGGAAAAAAAGGAGCCTCCAAAAAGAAAAGAAAAGGGTTATTTTAATTTGATCCAAGTTTGCCAAATTGGGATAATATTGATTCCAAGTTCTTTGCTTTCACTTAATAGTGTATCTGCATGTGTTCATGTGGGTCTGTGTGTGTGAGTGAGTGGGGTACAAGCAGGGGTGTGTATGTGTGTGTGCATCCACATACTTGTTTCCGTAACTGCAGTGTAAATCACCAGAAAATGCAACATCATTATCATCATGAATGGTAGGACTGGAATCAATACACATTTGCAGAGCTTTTGGGGTGCACATCAATACACACAGACGCAGGCTTGCAAAATACATAAAGAACTGGCTCAATATTTCAGGTTTAATGCATACATAATGTGTGTTTGCATGTGTGTATGAGATTTTTATTGTGTATATCTATATACACCAATCAGTCATAACATTATGACCACCTGGGCACCCTGACTGGTCTGTGGCTACGCAGCCCCAAACGCAACAGCCTTCCGCCAGCCTTCACTCCCCATATGCATCAATGAGCCTTGGCCACCCATGACCCTGTCTCCGGTTCACCGCTTTTCCTTCCTTGGACCACTTTTGATAGGTACTGACCTCGGCAGACGGGAACATCCCACAAGAGCTGCAGTTTTGGAGATGCTCTGACCCAGTCGTCTAGCCATCACAATTTGGTCCTTGTCAAAATAACTCAAATGCTCACGCTGCCCAACTCATCAACATTGAGGACAAAATGTTAACAACAAGACAATCAGTGTTATTCACTCCACCTGTCAGTGGTCATAATGTTACGGGTGATTGGTGTGTTAATGTATGTTGGTATAATATCATGCCTCTGAATCGTATTGATATCTTGGTTGCGTTCCACCGATTGCTTTGTTGCAGTGCTGTAATCTGACATTACAGAGAAGCCCTTTAGGCAATAAATGGAGCTGGGTTTAATTATTTTTTTTTGGTCCTTGAGCATGAGAGATTGTGTTAGTTAGTTTTGAACAAACATTGCTGTGAAGCATGAGGATTATTGTTCCCTAGTTGAAATGAGTATCCCCTCTTCTCCATAACTATTTTATGTCCCTACTGCATTGTCTGCCAGTCCTGCTTTCTCCATCTGTATATCCCACTATTTCCTTCATCTCAGTTTTCTCTGACCTCACTATACTTCCCTATTTTTTCATCTCACAGTATCTCTACTTACTCTCTCGATCAAACCCCTGTTTTCTTCCTCTTTGCCTCGCCTGCCTCAGTATGTCCATCTGTTGTGCTACACCAAGCGACTGATTGTATTTGAGGCTGTCAGTGAGGTAAATAATCTAGACATATATTCTAGTGGTTTGAGGATTGTGTGTGCATGTGTGTCTATGGGTTGTAGAAGAAATCTTCTGGTGGGGCAGGAAGGACGTGATGTTTTGGAAGGGCAGACAGGGAATAAGACAGAGTCACTGATTGGTCAGAGCCTCATAAATCATTCTACACACAAACAAGCACACACAATTGAGAATGCAACCACCTACAAGGATGTAAATGTTCTGGTATTTCCATTTTAATTGATATGTCCATTAAACCAATTGTGCTTGCATTTATCCACCTATATCAATGCACACACAGGTTTACATACTGATTCCGGGCCCCTAGAAATAGACCCAGTGATGCATCTGCAAACATGCTGCCATTACATTACAACTGACACATTTCCTACTTACATAATGTACCTGTACATAACATTTTGGCAATAAAACACAAATCCATACATGCCATATTTTCTAGCATCTTGCATCTTGCACATTTCACATTTCACACCTCATTCTTACATTCTATATTTATCTGCCCTCATAAAGCCAGTTTGTGGATGACTGTGTCTCTGCATTGATCGCTGTGTGCCCCTGCAGTTTGACATGCAGCAGCTGTCTCTGGATGAGCTGAAGCAGGTGCTGTTCCACGCCTTTCGGGACCACCTGACAATGAAGGACATAGAGAACATCATCATCACCGAGGAGGAGAGCCTCAATGAAACCTCAGGGAACTGCCCTGAGTATGAGGGAGGTGAGGAAGCTGTTCTTTACTGTTATAAATACCTGTAGCCTACTTATTAAGAGTACTGTTATACTGTAATTAATATGATATTTTGCACATTCATTTGACTCTGAGCTAAGTATGTATCCATGACCAAAACAGTCTCCTAACATTAATCTAAATAACTAATTGTATGCCTAATTGGGAAATACACTTATTTGCCTGCTGAGGGTTATTTAAGATGGATTCCACTCTCATTTCTGTGCGCTAGGTATGCAGCTAGAGCCAAGCAGCAATTAGCTAAGCTTAGCATAAAGAGTTGGAGATAGGATAAACTAGCCTGTTTCCAAACCTCTGAACTATTACCCACATCTTTAACTTTTTTTCAGCAATTTAATGTAGGTCTGGCGTTATGCTCACTGAGGGTTGTTTCTGTTTTTTTATGGGACTAAATCGATCGAATCGAATCAGAGCAGCTGGGAGGATAAAGAATAGGGATGTCCTCTTGCAATATAGTGAGCGAGCTATCAAGCTACAACAAATGATCTCTAAATCTACCCTCTTAACATGAAATTGACCAACATGAGCTGCTGCTCAGTGGCGGATTAAGCCAAAAAAAGCCACTTCCTGGTCTGGTAGTTACTTGCCGGAGCTACTCGTTGACGAACAGTGACAGGGTGTAGTGACTTTCCTGAGTCTCTGCTGGTTGCCTGGCAAGCTCATAATGACAAGACTCAAACAAATAATTATAGCACATACATTGGGGGATTTAACAAACAAGACGAAACATGTTAACTAGTGAGCTTGTGAACTGGACAGAGCCAGGGTATTTCTTTCACCCTGCTTCCAGTCTTTTGGCTAAGCTTATTACTTCCTGGCTTTCGTTCTGTATTTAGGGCACCGATATATCTGAAAGTGGTCTTAATATTCTCATGTATATAACTCTTGACAAAAAAAGCAAATAAAATGTCTACTACTTCGTTTGGGGTATATTTTAGAAAGGCAAATTCACAAATCTATATATAGTTACACATTTTAAAATGAATGTGTAGTTATGTAACCACAAGTTAACGCCCCTAATTTACCAGAACAGTGTAGTAAGATAGGAGAGATGGTGGAGGCAGAGGGAAATAGAGCAGGAACATATTTAGAGTAGTGTAGTGTGGAGGGCGATAGGGTTACACTTTTAAACACATACTAAATTACCTTCTAAGTTGTTTGGGAAAATTCAATGTGAAATCCTTTATTTTTTTATGCGCTGCTATTTCAACATGAATATCCACCACACAGGTTTATATCTGTAAGGCGGTGATCCTGAGAGACAGATCAAGAATGCTGAGGCATATTCAAGAAAACAGATGTTTAAATTATGAAACCTATAAACATAATCATGTCAAAGTAATGCATACATGTCTTTAAACGTTAAAGCCAGGAATGAGGAATGGCTTGCTAATGTTTGAGTGCCCAAATGAAACACAGAGTTACTTCTTTACTTTAGAAGAAGAGGGAAACAAAAACTTCCACAAGTCAGACTAGGACAAAGGTAAAGACGGATCAAACATGCTAGAAAACTAGGAAAGTCTTAATGAATCCACTGGGTGCTGGCCTACAGTCTCGGGGAGTCCTAAAATGAGACAGCCGGGAGGAAACGGAGAAACTAAGCGGGAAAGGGACAGTGAAGAAGGAGATAAGAGGCTAAAGAAGGGATCAGGGAACTGCTTGCTTGGCACTCTCTTTCACCATGTTTCTGGTGTTGAGGACAGGGCATGAAGTGCAGTTAGGAAGAGGAATAAGAACAGTAGAAAGATGTTGAAACAGGAGAACTAGGCAGGGAGGGATAAAGAAATTATAAAGAGGTATAGAGATTTTCTTGTAGAGAGAAACAGCTGTATGGCTCCCCACATTTAACCCTCTACCCACATCCTCAACTGTCCCCTTTCATGCCTGCTTCCTTCCCATCTTTTTCCTGTCCAATGGGACTTCAGTGCCTTTTACAGTCCCTCTTAGATCCACGACTCAGAGTTCTGACTTGATTTATTGATGCAGCTTGTGATTCTTACAAACTGAGACAAGGGGGCTGACAGAAAGGAAACTTTTGGTTGTTGCTCTCGTTGCAAGGCCTGTTGGAGGACACATCTGTCTCTTCTCCTCTTCCTCTTTCAATCTCCAGAGATTACATCTTTGGAGGAAACAAGGCCTTTCAGCCCTCACAGATAGGTAGCAGAACAAAAGTTGCACCTCACTACTCTTGTCTTTGTTTTTGCTGCTGCATAGAGAGTATTAGAACCAGTTTATGCCTCTCATGTACTCATCATTTTTACATTTTTAGGGAGACACTTCCACCAATAATCTAGGTCACAGAAATAAGCTGCAAAACATGGCAACTAGGAACGTAGCTGCCATTTTATCCGTATTTGTTTTTGGTTCACTGTGAGAAACAGGTTGAAATCCCATCACTATACACAAATCAGATTATTTTAATACAGGCACAACGGAAAAGACTTTGAGGATTACAGAAATGTCTTTAGTTCATTCTTCCCATGATCCCTTTTTAATGTTGAGTACTTACCTTAAATGCCATCCCAAAACCATGTGATTTTGTAATTTATGTAGGCTGAACAGTTGTATTGTTTACGGAATATTATTTGGACCTGATGTTTTCATTTCATTACTTAAGGCTAGAGTTCAAAATTTTGGGAAAGACAGTTTGCTAACTTACTATGAAGACCGGAAACAGGGAAAGAGCTTGCCTGGCTCTGTCCAAAGACTGTTTAATCTGTAAAAAGACCAAAGTTTAAAAACTACTACTCATGTATTTTAGGGATGGTTATGTGCATGGATGTATGGGAGAACTGGATACAGCGTTAGAGGCGGGGCTCCGTTCATTCCTATGAAAGTTGCTCAGTTGGCGCATGATGCCAAACAAAACCACTTTTCCAAATCCTCCCATTATTTGAGCGCAGTGATATGAACTCTTTAAATGGGGAAGAAACCAGATCATTGATTACAATTTATAGCTTAAGGTTTATGAGAAAAAGTATTTTTGGGCCAGTGTGTATCGCGTGACGTTGTCATTGCTGTCATTACACTTTGGCCACAATGTCAAACTGACTTCAAAGCTCGGTGCGCTTCCTAATCTGCTGCACTATTTATTGGTTGGGCGCAGTGACTTCTTGGAGTCTCTGCTGGTCACCAACTACAGAAAGTCTGTGTTTGTACAAATTAAACAAGCAGGATATAACGTGCATCTGACAGAGTCAAGCTGCTTCCAATGTATGCTAAGTTGAGCTAACTGTCTCCCAGCTCTAGCTCCATATTTAACACACTTACATGAGTGTGGTATATATCTTCTTCTCTAATTCTCCACAAGAGAGCAAATAAGTGTATTTACCAAAAGTATTCCTTTAAACCTGTATTATTAGTATTAAAACCAATAAACTAATCAATGAATTAACTAATCACCATGACATGACAACAAAAATATACTCCTGTCTCTTATTTCTTTTCTCTTCTGTTTCACTCCACTCAGTCCATCCGAAGAAGAAGAATCGGCAGACGTGTGTCAGGAAAAGCCTGATCTGCGCCTTCGCTATGGCTTTCATCATCAGTGTCATGCTTATCGCGGCCAATCAGATGCTGCGGAACGGCATGGAGTAACCAATTGCACTGTGAGCATGGGGAGTGGACAGAACAGCCATGACCTCACATCTTGTCTTTGCAGCCAAAGCTGGACCAAGCACTTCTCTAAACAATCAGTTGAGTTTTTATTTTATTTTTTAAGTTTGATTTGAACTTACCTTGTAGAAGCAGACAATGTGGGTGAATTATAGAGAGATATATTTGTTTTGCATTGAAGATGTCACCATGTAGAGTTACTGGACTTATAAAGAAACCTGAATGGGAAAATAATTTTGTTTTTATATAAATCGTGACAATAAATAGTGGGTTTTATTTTGCTGTTTTTAAGACGAAGACCACCCTTTAAACTTGATTTTCTAATTAACAAAAATGTTTATCAGGTGCTTTGAGCCATTCCTAATTTCAAAAACAAACAGTGGTTATTATGGACAACTGCATATTTACCCTAGAAAAGTGGCACTGAATGTGATCTGAGTGAATGTGGGCACATTAAATGCATAGTAAATCCCTCACATCATGATAAACATCACACTTTTTGTGACACATCGACATCCTCGGCTCAGTCCACTAATCTTGGGGCACATGAAATCTTTCTGTGTATCTACAAGGAGCACAACTCAATACTCAGTGAGGGACCACTTAAATATCATTACCGTCCCGCTATCTCTACTCTTTAGTCTTAATACTGATCGGTTGATTGATTGTTTTGTGTGGGTGTGTAAAAGACAGTGCTGTCCACATACATAATGTTAGTTCAGGCTGTCCGAGAGGTGTGAAATGTAAGGTAAAAAACAAGAGATATCAAATCAAATGACAGTGGATCTATGGTTTTGGTTAACAATAGGACCAGGCTGAGAAACATTGTGATATTTTTAGTTAGCCTATGTGTTGGTAGAAAATGTTTCACCTCAGCATCTCATTGTAATACTGCCCAACTGTGGTAAATATAAACCACACAAAAGCATGCCAGTATATACACTGCCATACCAAACATAACTCTCACACCAGTTTCCCATGGATATCATTGTATATATAGTACTACTTAGCTTGTGTAATGTATTATTCTTCTCAACAGCAGAATGTATGAAGGGTAGAAACTAGTGAGATAAATCAGGGATATACAGTAGAGCTGTGATATATACTGTTGGTACAGCTGTTTTCTTGGATAAGGTTGCATCCTAGTGGTTTAAATATCAAACTGCAGCTAAACACTTGAACGACCATGTCTACAAGGTGTTCAGAAGTGAAGAACAACACCCCTGAATTTGAGCTTTGATATGTTTCAGTGTCACAAAGGGCAGTTTGGTCTGTATTGGAATAGAATATGATTTTCCAGATTGTGTTGTCAAACCGGTGTACAGCTCAGGATTAGATGAGATTGAAGGTGACTGCTTCTGTACCTGTGGCAGTTTCTGGGGTCATAGCAATGTTTTATGGTTCAGACCGGATCGCACTACAGTTTTATAAAGCCTGCTGGGAGGACAACATTTGGAAAGGACCTTGTAGGAGTTTACAATCGTGCTCCTCTTCTTTTATAATGGAGCTGCCGAAGGTTGAACATCCCAATGACAACACAGATTAGATTTGAGGATGTTTTTCTTACATGGGTGTAGGGCTGGGCGATAAAGACACGTCATTGTTTGTCTACTGGTAGTAGAATAGTATTGTAACTGTATGTTTTTATTCTTTTATTGTTTTGCAAAATTTCCCAAAAAATGGATTCCAGGAAAATTGTCATTCGAAACAGAGATTACCTGAGGTTAAAGCATTTTAAAGAGCCAGTGGAAAACGGTTCGTTATAGTGAACATCATATCTATTATTTTATCTGTGATTATTTTGTGATATAGATATCGTAAAAATATTTGCATTAATATTGTGACGATTATTCCAACCAAATCGCCTGGCCCTATGTAGATGCCCTAACAGCAACATTTGTTTATTCCTAAATTGCACGGTGCTTCTGGTGCTTGGACATTATTGATCTGGAGGCTGGTTTGTTCCCATTAATACCTTGGAGTGATTATTTGTTCTCTTGTCTTTTGCCGGGGTGGATGAAAGTAAAACTAGATATTTCATTCAACCATGTGAGTTTATATGGGTTAGCCGAAATATAAAAGGGAGAGGGCTTTCTTTTAAAATGAAAAAATAGCTTTGTAAGATCAAGTATCACAGCAAAAATGTATTATACTGTAAATCAGTATGCATGTTGTTGTTTAGATTTCCATGTCTTTAAAAGGCAGGGGAATCCATTTAATATTTCTTTGTGGTGGCACAACCTTGGTTTAAATGTAGGTATGTATGTACTACTGTCATATTTGACTTTCCAGTTTATACTGTAATAGCCATTTTTTCTAGTTTCTACCAGCTATTAATCAAATCAGAGTGCAGGAGAGGGCATTTTCATAAATATGCAAATACAAGGTCACATCATCATCATCATCATCATCATCTCTGTTTCACATCATCTTGGGTAGAGTCTGTAGGCTTCACTGTGGATGGTTAAAATTAACATTGAATACAATATATTGTGTGTTTTAGTCACTCACTGCCTCATCGTCCTGTATAAACTGCTGTATAATGTATGCTACACTTATCCTCGTAAGTCAGTTTTATGTCTTTGATATTTTCAGCACATTGACATTTGACCAATGGACCATGTTTTCACCTTTGTCTATTAGCATCATGGTCCTTTTGAAACCAGCATAGACCACTTATCTTAACAATTCTCTAATAATTGTGCCATTCAGACATCCTTGCATGGCTATGTGAGGGAAACTCGTTTGACAGACCTTTTATCAACACTTTTAAAGTTTACATTATTATACTGTACATCTGTAACAGGACGGAGTCTTTTCATGATTTTCATGTTTTTGAAAGTTGCTTTTGAGATTTGTTTTTACCAAAACATGTTTTTACCTTGTAGATTGTATAGAGATAAAAACTAAATCCAGATATGTAATACAACCTTGGCATGCTGCTTAGAAAAGGAGAAAGAAAACAGCAATAGTCACCAACTGAATGGATATTTAAAAATGCAAATAACAAGTTTAATCTGTTTAATCTAAAAAAAAAATATATCCATATATGTTTATGCAATAAAACCTTGTTTTGATAGAAATATAAGGCATCTGTGTTTACTTGTGAGAGATGTTTGTGCCTTTGCCCAAGACCAACAACATATACAAAACAATGCTTGCAGCTACATTAAAAGGTAAAACAATCTTAAAGATCCCTTCAAGACGCGTATTAAGACCCACATACAAATAGTCTGCTTGGAATAATAATAATGTGTCTGATGTGATTTAATTTAAGTTTTTCTGGTGGCTTCAAGTTGTATCAACAATTTTCCCAGTTTCATACTGGACTAGGATTGATTTACAAACTATTTGTGATAATCACGCGTGTAGGCCCCGTCCCTTAAAATCTGATATTCTATGAGCACAGAGAAACTTTCCACTTTCAGCAAATTAATGTAAAAACATCCTTCTAATGTTAAACTCTGCACAAACATCATTCTGCACATATTTTTGAGTGGAGTGGGACTTTAAATAAGGCTCCTAAATAACACATAACTTTTGGCAGACAATAAGCTGAGAATGTGAAATATTTTCCCTGTTAATAGGTCTAAAACTATAAAGTGGGCTTGTTGCTTTACTTGTCACTTGTTATCATCTTTGTAGTGTCATTTTTAAATACCAACCCTAAAAATAGAATAACAACACAGCGTGGTTTTCACTGAGTGCCCCTCACTGCAGTTTCCCCGTGCAGGTACCAGAGCGTCCATAAGGGTGCTGTGAGTCAGAAGAGCACCCTCTTCAAGTGCAGAAAGCTCACTGTTCTGACATAACCTTCACATAATACATACAGGACATGTAGCACTACAAAGATAACTGCTTTGCGTGGGCTAACCTTGGCGGGTGTGACAGACAAAGGTTAACCTTCCACTGTTGACCTGATCAGCATCTTAAAAACTCTATTTAGCTTGATGTGATTCGTGATGGCTAGAGGTGAATTTACACATTTGTCAGCTTGTGTCACAGAGGAGTTTCCCGTGGAGCAGCGCTGGCATCCACACTCACTCTAAATCATGATAATTAGGGAGCATAGGTCAAATACAAGTGAGAGCAGCCTCATAGCAGATGCACCCGAACCCCATTAACCAGCAGATAATGAACCAAAACATGCCATTAACTGGACAAACAAGGCATTAGTGTAATGGCCCAGGCAGACATTAACAGCTTGTCTTACTTGCAAATCCTTTAGTCCGTTCATCTTTGAAATTAAGGGGTTAGGCTTTATAAGGTGACTCCAACCTGCTCAACCATTATATGAACGACCAAGGAAATGGACGCACCTAAAAGGAAAGTTTACATTGTGTATACTCTAGTACACAGTTGTTTAACTTTTGTTTCATAATTCATGTTGGCAAATTATCAAGAGAGTCATGACATCAGTGAATGATTTGAAGTGATCATGCAGGAAGGACCATGTGTGAAAAGATAATCTCAACTGCTCAATAAAGAAGTCACACTGATAGTTATGCATAAAAAATGTATTTAATATGAGGTATCCATTGCATGTTTGTAGCTCATATGAACCTCTGGAACAAAGAGTTTCTCTAACACATATGCATGCACAGACAGCATGACTGTAAAACACTGTACTTTCTCCCAGCACTTGGAAACTGATCAAACAGCATCTAGTTCAATGATATACATTTAAAAAAGCTGCTTATTCTCTCATATCAGATAGTGTGGGATACTTTATATGCAACACTGAGTCTGACCTAAAGGGGGAAAAAAAGGTAATTTACCATAGTAACTCTGCTTATCCGTTGGTTGAGTAGAATATGGCTTACAAATACCATAAAAACACAATAAAATTCTTGTGTTTCCAAAAGTTTAAAAGGCTCAACAATGTAAACACCTACTACTTCTTAAAAAGGATAAAAGGCACAAGTGTAACAATGTTTTTTTTTTAGTCCAACAAAACACAAGACTCACTTGATGACTTAAATTGACTGATCTGCAAAACATGCACTGCCGTCTTTGTTGTAGCGTCACTGCTAATGGCAGTCATTTAACAATAAATAACAGCTGAGAGGACCACCTCTTCTTGGATGTAAAGTGTCATAAACTGTAATAAAGAGTATTATTTATACTGTAAAACAGCATTTTTCATACATTTATGTGTTTTTGTACCCATTAAGGCAAACAATGATGCTATTTAAATATTGTTAGCTGTCTGAGTGTAGCTGCTGGATCTCTGAGGATTCAAGTAGTGTTTCCTACAACACAATGAATGTGAGAGACATTGTTAAAGATTGATAAGATGAAGTTATTGTACCCTGATTTGTGACAGACTTTGGCACAGTCTCCTCAAAAGATGACAGTCAAAGGTTGATGAGAGGGAAATGAGACAGGAGAAGGGGGCTAGGAATAGAGGCTGCTGGTACAGGCGTAATTAGGGACAGAGGTAGGAATACAGGGGTACACAGAGACATAGTGACAAAAGCAGAGAAGAAAAATCGAGGTCAGAACTCTGTGTGTGGGTGACCGTAGTCGCGGCTGCCCACCGGGCTCTCACTGGGCTTCATAAAGATGCCCTCCATGGCCTTCCACAGGCTGTGCTGGCTGGGGTTCGACATGGCGTGAACTTCCCTCTGACCGTGGATCGGCCGTCCATACTGCTCCCCCGTCACAGACAGCAGAGCATCAGTGGCCTTGTGGCGGAAGCGGACGGCCTCCTCGCGCTTCCATACAGATCCCCCACATTGAACCGTCCACTCGTCCAGGTGATCCCCTTCTCCTTCGTCGCCGAATGCACTCACCTCCTGTAGACGAGTGAGAAAGTGATTAGAAGATGGAATGGAAGGAAAAGAGGAGGTAAAAGAGGTACCTTGATTGTGTGAAAGCTTTTAAACACCATATATGATGCACACCCTTTAGTTTCCAGTTAAGAGTGATGCCACTGATACTAATGTATCAGGCTTCTTGAGTGGATGAGGGAGGTCAGACAGACTACAGTGCATATTACAGTGAAGATTGTAGATTATGTACATACAATCTTCTATTGTGATATGGGTAATACTGTATTGCCACAGGGATAATAGCTAATGTTCTGGAAACTTAGTAGAGAAACTGTTTACAGATATAATAAACCAGTAGGAATTTCTATTTTAGTCAATGGACTCTGTCACACTGATGCAACAAAAAGTGCCATAAAACTGTCAAAAAAAATTGTCCACAATCTAATACATGTTCAATTAATTTGCCTACCTTGGTATAAACAGTATACCAACATTTTACAGTTGACAAATTTCTATCATCTCACGGTACACATCTTCCAATCCTATAACACTTTGGTAAGACAGTGTTTTCACGCTTCCTCAAGACTGGAGAGGTTTTTGCTGACCTGAGGCTTGAGAGTTTGTTAGTTTCCTGAAGTGTAAAAGCTGCTGTCAACTCAAGTCCACTTCAAAAAAATGTGTTTAGTTTTCTCTAAATGTGAAAGACAACCTCTTGGCATTTCACATCTTTCTGACAACATATCAGGGCTGCACAATGTGGTAAAACATCATATTGCGAATATTCTGACAGATGTTGCGATTGTGATTAAAAAAATATTAAAATCAGGATGATGTGAAACGTTTGGGGGTCTGTACCAAACAGACAAGATGTGTAGACCAGGGCACCTCTGCAGCGCTACAGTACTTCATTCATTGTAATGCTGTTTTGTCACACATTTTACCTTTATCAAAACATTACAGCTCTTGTGATTTTCATATTGTGATTTTGATCAAATTTCGATTAACTGTGCAACCCTGCTACATATTAGAAATGTTACTGCAATTTCCCAATCTCTGCAGGGTGCTATGTGGATTGCAGCTCACATAACATTAAACCTCTCCTCTTTCCCTGTGTACTTCTCACACCACCCACCTGGTTGGAGGACAGCGGTGAGGCGAAGTAGTGGCTGTGCAGGTTACGGCCTGTGTTGACATGGGTGAGGCGGATCGTCTGCCCACACTTGACCGGGGTACCTCGATGGCACAAGGCGTCACTTGTCCCTCGAACACTCCAGTAGCTGTTGCTGTCTTCCACTGCAGTCACCCCTGTTACAGACTGCTGTCCACTACCTGTCTCACACACACATAAAAACAAACACAGTGAGCAGAAAGCTGTTGCATAGATAGTCAAAAGGAACAACCAAACTTGGATTTTGGCGGAAAAACATCTTATTTCATTGATTAAGAAAGTTCAAGGCTGTTGGCCAATCCTCTTGTTTTGACTACTTAATTTCTTCATAGAATCAAAATCTGTAAAAACACTTGATTGTGTGTTGGGTTTGACTTTGAACCCAAGGGTTCATGTTGGCAAACAGCATTTCCAACTTTAAACTTTAAAGTCTAGAGCCATACAACCACAATGCAGTGCGGTACAACATATTTATAAGAACAAAGCCCCATATTATTACAAAGACCCCCTTTGTAGAGTTGGGGGAACTCATGTCTACCATGGTAGAGATAATGTGGCACACCTGTGTTTGCCTTGGTTTAATACCAGAATCGGTTTTTTTTGTTCCTTTATGTTCTGCCATTATGAAATGGATTTCTCTTATAATGTCTAACAATATTTGCTTTGTAAATGTCACCTAAAGGAGATCATATGTCACCAGTCTTTTATCTGAGCCACTGTTTGCTTGTACACATAATGGAGTCATCATGAATTAGTTAAAATGTCACATTGACACTGTCCACCCATTTCCAATGTTCGTCCAACAATAAACGTTTAATTACAGACTAGGTTAATGCCATATGAAGTTAAAGTTAGTGTAAAACACGATGTAGCTGTTCATTAATGCTTATTTATCTTGTTAATGAGAGGAAACTCACCGGAACCGTAGCGTACGTCGTGCGAGTGTAGTCTCACATTGTGCTTTATATTTAACAATTTAATGACTGATCCGCAGGTCACAAAATCCAGCTCCGTGCTAAGCGACAGTCCGAATATAAAGGATAATAAGAACAATAATAGTGCTGGCAGAGAGTGTGGGAGAACAGCACAGTTTAAGTTACCCATTCCTACTACACCAGACAGCCGCCGATGCCTCTCTGAGATTTGTATTATTTTTCGCTACGTCATTAAAGTTGTACTGTATTCCAATATGAAGCTCAGGAAACAGCGCCGCTGGCGACCCGGGGTGGTAACTGCATGGAGCTTATAATATGTTTTTTTTTTGTTTCTATTAGGTTAATTTAGCGTCGCTGTGAGATATTTTTATATTTTTTGATCACATGATAGTATCCCCATTAAACGTTAACAGTTGTTATAATGTGCAGTTCTTATTTCGTTGTGTAATTTGGTGTATGATCCAGGTACACCAGCAGGGGGCGTCACCTTGCTACAGAAACGGATGGAAGTTCCCTCACTGCATCCCGGAATTGTCTTCACGCCACTCGTTCTCGGCCATTTTTTTTTTTTTAACAAGCTCCCCGAAACACAAAACACACTCCCGTTGTTACTGTAAACATTCACGGATTATAACCACCGCAGGGAGACGTGTAAGTCCAAATTCACCGCCGGTCGTTTGGCGAACTTTAGATTGCGTTGCCTAGCTACCAGCCGTTAACTAACGTCAGCTAACGGTAACGGTAACGGTTGGATGTTGTTGTCGTTCCAGCGAATGCTAGGCTAACGCACTGCTATGCTAACTAAAGCGTTAAGTTAACTATCTTTAAACTGCGAGGTTGAGTCAGAGGCCTTGATCGATTTCTGCAACGGTAACTGAGCGTCTGTTATTCTTTGTATTGCCAGGCAGTGTAGTGTTTTTATACAATGTAATTTAAACGAGCGATGAGGAAATTAAATACCCGCTACTTGGGGGAAAAGGTTGCTGGCTAGCGAGCTAGCATCGCTGACCTAGCCGGGTTGGTGGTTGCTAGCCCCCTGGCACACTAACATTAACGCTAACGTCGAGGACTAGAAATCACAATATGACGTTAATGTTTGTCCACAGACCGCTCTTTGGTTAAATATAAAGATATCACCTTGTTAACATTAGTCACCATTAGATTTAAAGCTGGTAGCTGTAGTGGTTTGGTCGTCTCTATCGATGTGTGTGCGCAATGCGACAGCGTTAGGTGTGGGATTTTTATTTATTTATTTATTTTTTAAGCTCACCAGCAAAATCTAGTTTCGTTACAATGTTCTGACGTTATATTATAACGATGCTGTTATTTGAAAATCATCACCTGGACGCATGCATATATGAACATATAGTATTAGTGCGAAGGATTGTTTAATGTCGTTAATGTTCACACATCAAACAATTGTGTGGATGTATAAAGGAGCATTGGTTCCGTATGTATCAGGCTTTTTATTTTATTTATATGTTTACCTCGAAATATCATCATAAAATGGCTTGAAAATGAATCACATATTGAAAATTGTACAGCTTGTGTGACAGGACAACACAGAGGAGTAAACACTCGTGCCTTGCAGCCAAACGTGTAAACCCACAGGGCTTTGGAGAAGATCCTAAAGTTTACAAAGACAATATGTTACGTTACTACGCACTAGAGATCGAGAATAATTCCATTTGGTGGAATGTGTCTTGTGTTTTTATATTTTACTCAGTGTGTTTATGTTAATGAAAGCTAGAACAGAGAAGTGTGATGCTGTCAGACAGTGAGAGATGATTGATTGAGAGAGGATTTTTCCAACATTAAAACTCCGATGTGACACTACAGTTACAGCAGGATGTTAAAGAACATATCTTATGTGTGTGTTTGGCTTTTATATTTGTGACTAGCCTGGGAGAACAAAGTAACACTTAGGTGACATTGAGAACGTTTACTAACAGCATCTTGCTCTTCTTCTCAGGAACAGCAGTCATGTCAGACTTCATTGAGAGCGAGGCTGAGGAGTCAGAGGAGGAGTTTGAGGAGAAAGACCTAAAGCCTAAAAAGACTCAGAGGTTTATGGAGGAAGATGGTGAGATTTGAATTGCTATTTCTTTGTATGCGTTTCAGAGGTGAGGTTGTATGATGTACTGACCACTTATCTGTCATTTTTCAACAGATGAAGAGGAAGAAGAGAACACAGAGGACCAGGATGAGCGGGGAAATTTACGCGGCCTCATTGATGATGGAGATGAAGAGGAGGCGGAGGAGGAAGAAGCTCAAAGGAGTGGAAGTGGAGCGGCGAGTGACTCAGAAGAAGAAGTGAGACATCGACGTAAAAAGCGCAGTAAGTTCATCAGGTGTTTTTAAAGGGTGGCAACCATTATACAGTTTATTATTCTAAGTTGTGATTAGTTTAATGAAGTCCTAGATGTAAAGGCGGTACTGGAGCTCTTATACACTCATTGCTGTTTTACTTTAATCCCATGCACTCACCCCATTCCCGTCAGCCCCTGCATGACTCAGTAAAAAAATATGCCCCTTAAAATTATTGCTACGTCACACTTCTTTCAAGCCTTCAGCAGGGTGTAAAAAGCATTTGTTTGATTTGTTTTGTGTCAGTTGCACAACAGATTTTTATAATTCAGCAGTGTTTTAAATTAATTTGCCTGTATAAATGGCAGATGTTGAATATTCCTTGACTGTCACAGCATATGCAGTAACATTCATATTAGAGCAGTTTTTTGTACTCCCAAATATTGATATCTGTATCGACACAACCTGACCTTGAAATAATACTAGGTGCCATTTTAAGATTTATCGCCATTCTGTAATTCCTTTGATAGTGGACAGTGCTAGATAAGAGATTTTAAAGTAAGATTAAATACATTTCTGAATAATCAGAATAGCCATTAAACATATTTCTGGCATCTGTTGGGCAGGTAAAACAACAGATTGCCTCCTTTTTTTCCCTTGTCTTCTGCTTTCAGCTCCATATGTTGGGGAGCCAGATGCGCACACATATTTGTTGCATTAACCCGGGCAGATGCTGCCTGATGTTATTTCTCTGCTGGTGTGGTTTATAATCTTCCTTCATATTTTTCCTTTTGTCATTATCAAAGAAGAGTGAATGTGTTGTTTCATCCACATTTACCTGAATTCAACCATGTACATAAATAATTGCCTGCAGTAGTTATGCAGACAAAAAAATTGATTCTGAGTCAGTGTGATACAAAGCCTCGATGTTTATACTTCAGTGTTTGATTTCCTAACCACACACTGTTTTACAGCGCCAGAAATGCAACATGTATTGAAGTTGTTTCCCCCGACTGAGGCTTTTTCTCTTTGTAGATTATGACGACTACCTGGATGATGATGATCTTGACCTAATTGAGGAAAACTTGGGTGTTAGAGTGAAAAGGAGGGTAAGAATCGTTTTTGTCATTATTTTCTCTGTATAATTTTGGCTTTTGAGCATTTTTATACAGTTGAAAAAGTTCCGTAGTGCTGATGCTGTACCTGTTTCATGTTGCAGAAGAAGAAATATGACCGCGTGAAAACACTTGATGATGATGAAGAGGACGATGACGAGAAGGACTTGATCGCAGATGAAATCTTTCATAGTAATGCCGAGGGCGAGCTGGAGGACGGCGAGGCTGTCGATGAGCCTCTCCATCACGGAGATGATGACGAAGAAGGAGAGGATGAGGAGTCAGGTAGTTTTATAGATCTTTCTTGAAGTATCTAAAAAGCAGTGGAAGAATAGATCAATGTAAACTCATGCCCACACTAGATGATGTGACATAGAATTGATTCGTTTTTAAATTTGTGCTTTCGTCCCACAGATATAGACGATTTTATTGTGGATGATGATGGCCAACCCATCACCAAAAAGCGGGGCAAGAAGTTCTCAGGATACACAGATGCGTAAGTGTCATAGTTTATACAGCAACTCTAGTCATGTAAAAAAATATATATATCATTTGTAGGGCAGGAAGCTTATTTTTCCCTGCTATATTAAATAATCTAATACAGCTCAAGTATCTCTGTCTTCCATCAAAAATTAAAATATTGATACTGGAAACACAAAATGGCAAGCTGCTTTGATAGGTATGGGTAAAATCAAACATGTAATCACTGTGTCTTCTCTTCACTGTTCCTCCTCTCACAGAGCCCTCCAGGAGGCCCAGGAGATTTTTGGTGGCGACTTTGACTTTGCTGACTTCGATGCAGACGCTTACGACCAAGGGGAGGAGGAGGAAGAGGACCAGGATGAAGAGGGTTGGGACCGACCCAAGAAGCAGACTAAGAGGAGGCAAGGGAGGAAGAGCATCTTTGAGATCTATGAGCCCAGCGAGCTGGAAAGCAGTCACATGACTGACCAAGACAATGAGATCCGCACTACAGACATGCCCGAGAGGTTCCAGGTGTGTGTGTGTTTTTCCTCTGTGTTTTTGAGGCTAACAGTGTTGCTGCACATTCTTAGAGGGACCATATAGGTCCATGATGACTGCTTTTTTTGGTCTATGTCCAATGAATACTGATTAAGGTCGAGGGGGAGTTAAGTGGAATAGTCAGTTAAGCCTTGAAAGCCTATTCTGTGTTTGCCTCATGTTGTCTTCCTGAGTGCCTGTTTTCCTGACACTGTTCCCTTTCTTATAGCTACGATCCATTCCGGTTAAGCCTGCTGAGGATGATGAGCTGGAAGAGGAAGCAGAGTGGATCTTCAGACATGGCTTCTCCACTCTTACTATCTCAATGCAGGTACGACTTATGCCACACACACACACACACACACACACACACACACACACACATACATTCACAAAGTATGCAAGGAACTGTTCTTGGATTTCAGTCATGATATCTGGTTAGATTTCCCATTTGAGGGATAAATCACAGGATTCTCCTTTGATCTAAAAACATATCTGTCCTTTCTGTGCCCTGAACAGGAGAGCACCGATTATCTAGACAGAGGGACAACCACAAACTTCAGCAGGAAAGGGCCCAGCACAATTGCCAAGATCAAAGAGGCCCTCAACTTCATGAGGAATCAACAGTTTGAGGTACAGCAAGCTCCTTCATTGTTTTCTTTGTTTGAGGTTAATCTTCTCTATAAGCCATTAAAATTATGCCTTTAAGAAGGGATGCAAAAGGCCAAATTTTATTATTTTCTTTTCAGGTTCCATTCATAGCTTTCTACAGGAAAGAATATGTGGAGCCAGAGCTCAACAT